GGGTGCCTCCAGGACCAGGGTTGGGAACCACTGGCCTAGGCATTGAATCCACTCAAATGGCTATGAGCAGACCTGATGTTTTACGAAACTCTGTAACAACTAAACAACTTTCAGTTTGTTCTGTCAAGTGCACTAAAATGTCAATGTACAACTTAAGCTTTAACATAAAAATGACTGACTGTGTAATTGCTCTTCATAAGTTGAGTATGAAAAGAAGGATTATGATAAATACTGTAACGAATCTGTAATGATGGCTCACAGACCTCAGGGTTGGGATGTGTCTTCAACATACACACATCTGCCTTTCATTTAGATTCCTGACCTTATACACCCACACTCATATAATCCATACAGTTCATATTTCAGCAGCAAAGTGCAATGCTGGTGTGCATTCATGAGAAATATTTGGGGCCAATGGGGTCACATGCAGCATATGCAATATTTCACTTAGTGTTATACAAGCAGTTCAGATTGAGATAAAGACCTTACAATTATAGGATACATTAAATGGATCAAAAGAGATAGATAGTAAATACATTTATGATGTTTATGATTTCAGATACAGTAAATGCTGTTCTTTGAACTTTCTATTCTAGTCAAAGAATCCTGAAAAAAATTCAGGGTTTGCACAAAAATATGAAGCAGCACAACTGTTTTCAACATTGATAATAATCAGAAATGTTTATTGAGCAGCAAATCAGCATATTCATTTCTGAAGGATCATGTGACACTGAAGACTGGAGTAATGATGCTGAAAATTCAGATTTCATCACAGAAATAAATGACATTTTACAATATATTTACATAGAGAGTTCTTTTAAATGGTAATAATATTTCACAATTTTTTATCAAATAAATGTAGCCTTGGTGAGCAGAAGAGACTTCTATCAAAAACACTGCAGTACATGCACTTTCAAAGCAATGCATGAAAACTACTGAAGCGACGCAAATAGACAGGGGTGATAATTGCTCAGATCACAGCTCACACTGCAGACAGGTGTCAAACTGACCCCATGACCCCACAAAACATGCCGCCCCCTGAACAATAAGACAAAATCCTCTGATCTGTCCCTGAACACCCAAACACCTGCCGCTCTCTGTCTGTGTGACGCTCTCCAGAAATGAGCTCAATCTGACTAAACCTCTCCCTCTCTCCCTCAGTGATTATGTCAATGTGAAAGTGTGTAAAGGGTCTGTCTGACCTCACTTTGACTGTCACACAATCACACACGCACGTACACATGCTTCACACCCACCAGTCTAGTTAAAAGATCATAAACACTGAAGCAACAGCTTCATCATGCACACTCTGTATGAACTCAAACATTTCTCAACCAGTGAGCTCTATACTCTTACTGGAAGACCAGTGTTGTCCCATTCGAGCCTGTTTTTATTTCTCCTCTAGGGATTCAGAGGAGAAACATCTGATAATATGTACTTTAATGAATCATTAGAGAAAAAGCTGTCAAACTGTTGAAACATCAGCATCTGAGCAATAAAACAATCTTCTGGATGTGCAGCTGCATGTTCGTCTAAGGTGTGACAGACGCAGTCGCAGCAGTGTTGATGTAAGGTGGAGCGTGTCCGTTTGTTCTTACAGTGCTTGTGTGTGTTTGTTCAAGATAAAAAAATAAGCATGGAGTTCTCCATTGTGTTTCATGTCAATTTCATCTCAGAAGTTTTTCCAGCAAGAACAAACCAAAATTTGTCAATAGTTGTCACCCATTAAGAGTAAAGAGGCATAAAAAGTATGTGGAGAAAATCAGATCATTTGATAAGAAATGTTAGTCCATATTGTCAACTAAATTCAATGGATTTGCATACATATATTCAGTGTTCCCTTACAGAGCCCTCAGAGAGAAGACAAACTCCATAAAGAAACAGTTCAACCAAAAATCATTTACGTGCCTTCATGTCATTTCCAAACCTGTTAGACTTTCTTTCTTCTGTGGAACATGAAAGATGTTTTAAAGAACATTAATGACCTAACACTGAACCCAACTGACTTTCATTGAAAACCTCATAAACCTTCAAAAACATCATCATCTTGTGCTCCACAGAAGAAAGTAAGTCTTGGAATGAAGTAAAAGCACTTTTGGGTGAACTGTATTTTAAAGATATTTAAGGAGCTGGGTAGTTTTGGTTCTGTGTCTCATTTAAGGACATGTAGATGTTTTACTATAAAACAAAAACTTTAGATTGCAGATTTAGGTATTTGAGTTAAGATCTCTTCTGGAACTCTAGAAGAACTCAACCCTTGCTGTCCAGGAGAAACAAATGAGATATTATAGAGATCTTGTTTGTTGTCTTTCCTGTGGGTGGGCAGCAGACGGATGCAAGAGTGTGAGAAAAAAACAAGTAACCGGAGTAGAAAGGTGTGATTGTGAGTTAAGAGGAGAACATGAGTGTGTGAGCGAGTGAGTGAGAGAGAGAGAGAGAGAGATAAAGGGAAGCGGGTGGGAGGATCTTCTTCATTCAGCAGTAACTCTTCATCAGACTCTTGAGGAGACAGAAATAAAGACCCCGGCAGGAGCACACACACAGCTCAAGTGTTTCTCAGCGAGCGTCTGGATGGAGGGAGACGGAGGTGTGGCGCTCACACAGAGCCCTGAGACTCTCACCGAGGACGACGTCTGTGTGATCCAGGACACGTGGAGACCCGTCTACGAGAACCGAGAGAATGCTGGAGTCGCTGTGCTCATCAGGTACGCCTGTCCGTCTTATTTACACACATCAATCATTCACAAAAACTAATATGTTATCACTGTGATTGTTTGCACATGCAGCATAGCTTTCTACTTATGTTATACCCAGATCTTCTGGGCATGCACCATAGTAATTCCATGGTATTTTGGACATTTATAGGTAATATCCTAGTTTTTGGAAATACACAATGGTAAAACCGTGTTTTGCCTTTTTTGAACAGGTACCATGATAATGCTTGGTTGTTTGGACATTTACCATAGTTGAGCCATAGTTTTTGATAAGCACTATGGTGGTACAATGATTTTTTTGGTACATGGCGTTTTTGAAGATTTTCCACCATAAAACCATGGTGTTTTGACATTTATAATTGGCAAGATTAGAATTTTTTTAAACATTTTTTTTTTATTTGTACAATGATAATACCATGGTTACCAGTTTGCAATATGCACAGTGGTAGTACAATGAACGTACCATGGTAATACAGTGTTTTTGACCATTTACCATGATGGTTTTGACATGAATAATTGATAATACAAGAGGTTTTGAAAATGCACCATTGTAGGACCATGTTTGGTCTTTTTTTTTTTTGTACTATTGTAATACTATTTTTGTTTGGACATTTACCATGGGCATGGCTACACCATAGTTTTGACATGCACCATAGAAATACAAATATTTTAACATATACCATAACAGTGTTTTGGGGCATGTATCAATGTGTATTCATGCTTGTGTGTGTGTATGTGTGTGTGTGTGTGTGTGTGTGTGTGTGTGTGTGTGTGTGTATATATATATATATATATATATAAATATATACACATAGTATTTGGAAATATATCATGCTACTGAATGACTGTCATTACGTATGACATATCACATATATATGCCATACGTAATGACAGTCATTCAGTAGCATGATATATTTCCAAGTACTTGCAATTGCACTGGTGTTTCTGGTCTGGAGATCCAATTAAAGAAACACACTCATTTCTATCATGGTGGAGAATTTCCATCAATCTCTATTATTTTCATACTGAGCTGATGATATGAACCTTACTGCATTTGTGCATAGACAGTATTTACTTTATCAAGATGATTCCCTTGGTGACGTCCACAAGTGTTGTTCAGGGCTGGTCATCTGAAGTTTGCTGGTTCGATCCCATCTAGAGTCGTGAACCGTCATCACACTGTATGTGATAAAAACATACGTGAATCCAGGAGGACCGATGCGCTATGGTGGCATCACATGAAAGATGTGAAAACTAATCGCACTGGCGCTGATTATGTGGCCATAAATAAAGATTGATATCCTATTGTACGGAAAGAGAAGAAGTTAAATTGGGTGCAAGAGGATTGTGGGTAGAGTTGAGGTGTGACTGCTGGGATTTGGTGAACATATCGACCTTGAATGCTTGTTGGGATCTCCAGCTGCTCTTTATGGTTTCAGAGATGACAGCTTTAGTGCAGAAACTTCTCACGCTTCTTTCACACTCCTGATCTTCTGTGCTGCAAAAACTTCACCACACTGGTATGTCCTGATTTAGACACCTAGATAAATCTGTGTGTATCTAAATCAGGACATACCAGTGTTGTTGGACATTAATCTTAGACTCACTTGAGTAAGACACAATCAAATGCAGAGAGTTCAGTGAATGAACATGCATTTGTGAGGAAAAAGAAAGACGGAGAGCTCATAAAATCAGTCAATCAAAGAGAATTCAGGCCAGATATCTGAAACTAAAGCAGTTTGTGATTCGTTTTGAAAAATCAGTTCACAGAAATCACAGACTGATTCGATTTACTTCACTGTCAACTGTATATCTCTTCTAGATCTACTGGCACAACCAAGGACGTGCACGTTCATTTTAAGGGGCAGGGGCTCAAGTGGAAAAAAGGGCACTTTTCATATCATTTCATTTAAATTTTTTTTTCTAAACAAAATGTTAAATAGGCTATATTAGGGGTGTGCGATATTGACAAAAAATATATCTCAATATTTTCTGGAATTTTATCTATAACGATAATTAGACTATATTTTGCTGAGTGAGTTATTGTGCTGATATCTTAAGGACTGCTGTGGACAGCTGACTCCTGAGGTTTTGATATTCTTTATATTCTGTGTGGTGATCCTTTCACAGCAGTGATATAAATTTATCTTTTCCAATAAGTTTAAATAGTTTTTTTTTTTTACTTTTATGGGCATTTTTACCTTTATAAAGCCTTTTTTTCTAATAGTGTGCATCATCTTTTCAGTCAAATTCTTAAATTGAATCAGTCAATTAGAATAATAAGTCATTTGGGCTTGTTACCAAGCAAATTAAATCAGTATTGACAAAATTCTTTTGCAATGCAGAGGAAACACAGAAGCTACGTTTTAATGCAGGACATGAATGCATTTAACCTGCAGTTACAAATGTATTAATACTGTTTTTATATTTTAAACATAAAACGTTGAATACTGATATTTGAAATTATATAAAAAATATAAATGTGAAATTAAAACCGCCAGTAGGTGGCAGCAAGTCACTGTTAATAAGAGAGTCATTGCGATTGAACGGTTGATTCATTCAGGGGACGAATCACCGTCATGTTGCTCAGAGAAATTGGAATTATATTTGTTGGTGAAATAGAGCAAAAACAATATTATTGAGTCAATATTGTGTCTAAAACGTAAGTGTCTTAATATTAAATTCTTGTTTATTGAACTGCTGTATAAAATCAATATCACATTTGTAATCATGCTGCTTTTTGGTTGAAAAAATGTCAGTCTTCGCGTGATACTTATTAACTATATGAAATTATATAAATATATACATTTCTGCCCCCCATATCTTGCATTTTGTGATCATTCTAAATGCATTTTAAGAAACTGAATCATGCAGTGAAAGAACGCGCACTGGTCTAACCTAGACTTCCTACTTTAGCCAACTTACATGGTAGCTCTTATGAGTCATGGATGTTAGCAAGACGAATTTGCTATAATTGCCTTTAGTCTAATTAGCTGTAAATTCGAGGCACAGGTAGCTTAAGCCCAATTTATACTTCTGCGTCGAACCTACGCCGTAGCTTACGCATAGACGCACACCCATACGCAGGGGCGGATTGAGTGATTTGGGGGCCCCAGGCAAAATACAGGAATGGGGCCCTATACAATTTCACACATTTACAACCTTGAGGTTCCTTTCACTGTTGCTCGCTGCTGCACGACCGTGTCCCATAGTTGTGTCTAATCTTTTAGATTTTTCATGTACATGTTTCAAATGCAATTCAGTACACTTCAATCAAACCGCGATATGGACTAGTGTATGTGAATATTAAATGGCAAAAATACTATTTAGCTATTACAGACGACAACCGCGAGCGTTGCGCGTGCTTAAATAGCAAACGAAATGCGCATCTGCGCCGTTCATTCCGTCACATTCCACGTTACAAAGTAAATTCCGTTTTTATGAATAGATTCCGGGATTCCGTCCCCATTTTCTACATCGCCCTACTTTTGCTAAGAAGCATGTTCAACGCAGACGCACAGACGGTTGTGGCGGTAATGACCACCACAGCAACCACTTGTGCGTCCGCACTGAACGCGCATCTCGCATATAAAAAGCATTTTAGGGGGCCCTTGGCTTTTGGGGGCCCAAGGCGGTCGCCTACCTTTGCCTAATGGTTAAGTCCGCCTCTGTGCTTTACACAACAATGACTCTAAATTATCCTTTGGGAGCCAAGACAAACACAACTGGAAAGGGAGAGAGGGCTTCACTTCTGTGGCTCTCTGTATGTCTGTGATGCCATGTGCTGATCAATGTGTGCTACACTGCTGTGCTGTGCGGAGACGCGGAGGGGAGAAAGGCATCGGAACTCGACAGAGTCAACATTTCCAGACCCGACCTGATAGTTTGATTTTTTATTTGTTTGACAGGGAAAGCTGTGCGCAAACAGAAACACACACGCACATATTCATTTATACATATTTTTATTAAAAAAAAAAAAAAAAAACACTCCCCAGAAAAAAGGGCACTTTCTCTCGAGGAAGAAAAAGGGCAGGTACTCAAGCCCCCTTTGATGTCTATGTGTGCACGTGCCTGGGCACAACCTTAAAAGATTATTAAGAGTTCAAGATTGTATATAATACAGCTGGGAGAAATAAATCAAGATCATTAAATGAAAGAATATGCATTTGATTAAACTGATTCAATATATTATATAAAACCTATTTACTGTAGTTTATACATGTATGATATCAGTAGATCAATTGCAAACAGGGCCGTTTCTAGGTATAGGCGAGCTAGGCGGTCGCCTAGGGCGTCAAATTGGCTAGAAACGGCCCTGATTGCAAATAAAAATACATAAATAAATACAATTATGATTCAGTACAGTTTTTTTTGCTTGTAATATTTGATATCATATTATTGTTAAAGAGGTCTGTTCCTGCTGTTCTTCTGATGTTCAGGAATCTGGTGAATTTGAGCAAATCATAACACAGCGTGAAGTTTTTCCACATTAATGCCTCACGTTATATTTCTTCATTCCTGACCTGTGCACATCTAACAGCGCTTAAGGATTGTGATGGATGTTAGCAGTTATTTCTCTCTAAAGATAACAGCTCACATCTATCTGAAGATCACACCTGAAGGGATGCACTAAAGATTCATAATTAAACTCTTGCAACTCGTGAAATTAGATTTATTTCTCAGAGGGGACGTGCTTTTAAGTGGACGTTCACAGGAGGAGACTGTATTTAGCAGGTCAGTGGATTAAATCAAATATTATCATCCATTTTGCTGTAAATTCTATTAAAATCACCATCCAAGACACCCTTTCATCTCTGTTACTAGTTGATGACAAAAAGCACCAGACTGCAGCCAAGAGGTAGTTGCAACCGGCAAAAACATCTCAGTTGTGAAGTGTGCACACTGTCTCGGACATGCAAGAGAGCAGCAACAAACAACAGTTTAGGAAAGTGAGAGACAAAGGAGAGCGAGTGAACGGAGAGACAACTGGA